GTACAAAAGAAGACTGTGTCCGAGCTATAAAACAATATCACATGGACATATCAGCAGATTATAAAGTCGATCGAATGAATCTGACTCTATATAAGATCTATTGTTGTAACGAGATGTGCCCGTTTTGATTAACAACTTCTTTCAAGAAGAGAAGTGATTCATGGAAGATATGGTCAATGATAGCACACTTGTATAATCACAAATCTAATGCAGGATCATCGTAATCCCAACTCTCGATTGATATGCAATGAAAATTTGTCAGTCATTAGCGACAACCCTTCTTTGAAGGTGAGTACCGTAATCTCGCATATGGTTCAAAGATACAACTATACTCCTTCGTACAGGAAAGCATGGATAACTAAGACTAAGGCGGTTGAAACGGTGTTCAAAAATTGGGAGGAGTCTTACAAAGAACTTCCAAAATACTTGGTAGCACTTAAACAATATGCTTCAGGGACTATTGCCATCTTGGAGACATTGCCGGCGTATACGCCATACATGGCCTGTGTTAGTGGAAATGACATTTTTCACAAGCTCTTGTGGGCGTTTGAACTATGTATCAAAGGCTTTGCATACTGTAAACCTATTATTCAAATTGATGGCATATGGTTGTACGGGAAATATCAGGGTACGCTACTCATGGATGTGGCACAGGATGACAACAACAACATTTTTCCCATCGCCTTCGCTCTAGTTGAAGGGGAGAATGATGGGGGTTGAAGTTTTTCCTAAAAAATCTCCGCTTATACGTTTCTCCTCAACCTAACTTATGTTTGATCTCTGATAGACACTCATCAATCGAGAGTGCATACAGGAATCTTGATAACGGTTCGCAGGATCCTCCTTTAAACCATGTGTATTGCATAAGACACATTGCTCAAAAGTTCATGCGGGAGATCAAAGACAAAACGCTAAGGAAGAAGGTTGTGAACGCAAGGTATGCACTAACAGAGCCCAGTTTCAAACACTACCGTGACAAGATCAGACTGACAAATGCAAATGCATTAAGATGGATTGATAATATTCAACTAGAGAAATGGACAAGAGCATACGACAATGGCCAGCGATAGGGCCACATGACAACAAACCTCGTTGAATCAATGAATTTTGTATTCAAGGAAATCTGAAACCTACCGATAACCGCTTTGGTAAGTGCAACATATTTTAGGCTCGAGGCACTTTTTGATATCAGATATATAAAGTAGGGTTCTGTCTTATAATCTGGGCAGCTATACAGTAATAGTTCAATAAAATTCATGAAGAACAGAGTTGCCAAAGCCAACACACATGTGGTCACAATCTTTGATCGTAATAAAGGTTAGTTCAGTGTTGCAGAGTCAATTTATCACAATGAAGGGAGGCCTAAGGGATGTTACCAAGTGAAACTAGATAGGAGTTGGTGTGACTGTGGAAAGTTTCAGGCATTTCGTATGCCTTGCTCCCATGTTATATCAACATGTTCGAAGGCTCTCCAGGATCCAACCAATTATCTTTCTGTTGTTCACCAAATCATTTGTCTATGCAATGTCTACAACTAGAGGTGGGAATAGGCTAGGCTAACTAAAAAAAGCTACATCCTAGCCTACATAGGCCTAGATCAGACCAGACTTTTTCTTAAATAGAAAAGACCTAGGCTTTTTAATAAGCCTATTTATCTAAAGAGGCTAGGCCACAGGCTGTAAGAAAGGCCTTTTAAGCCTATTAGACCGGCCTATTTAAAAAAAAAAACTCAATAAATTTATTATTATTATATTGTATTTTGTATTTTAAATTAAAGTACGAAAATAAAGCTTTGTTATCTTTAAGAACTTATGAAAATAAGTTGAAAAAATATTATAAACAATGTCATAAGTTGTTATCATAAGTTTTTTCATAAGTTCTATCCAACAAATAGTATCACTAAACTTATGCTAATAGATAAAATTGAATGAGACAATAAAAACAAACATTTAGTCTCATTGATCTTTTAATTTGCTAGTTTATTTAATATTAGTTGAATTTCTTATTTACAAATGTTCAAATGAAGTAGGCCAATCAGGTATTCAAAAAGGCTAGACTCAGGCCTAAAAATAAGCATATGATAGGCTATAGGCCAGACTTAGACTTAAATTTTTTTAGCAGGCCAGACTCAGGCTTGACAAAGCTTAACTCGACTTAGCCTATTTTCATCCCTGTATACACACTAGCTTTCAGGTGGTAGCAAATGAGGACTATTGGCCTCCATATGAAGGAGAAACTGTCTGGCATAATGATTTGATGCGAAGAAAGAAAAAAGGCTGCCCTAATAGCACGCGTACGAAGATGGATACAAAAAACAAAATGGTCAGATTATGTAGTTCGAGCCAGCAGCCGGGACACAATTGTACAAAATGTCCCAATGTAGGATCAAGCACCAGATCATAATTTCTAATATAATATTGTCTCTTTATATCGACAACAAATTTTATTCCATTGATAGCATACCTAAGCGATTACAATTAACAGCAACATAACTTAATATCTCAACAACAATAATTAAAAACAACATAAACTAATACCAAAATAACAATTGGAAAATAACAACAACAAACCCAAATAAAACAACTCAATGCATCAACTTATCTGAGATATTACAACCATCAAGATAATTTTCTTTGATGTTAACATCATCATATGGAAATCGACATCATTTTCCACTTTTCTCCAATCACGAGTAACTCCATTTCTGTCTGACTCCTTAACCTGATATTTTCACCTGCAGCAATATTTCCTTCTAGCCAGCGGTTCAGTTCCATATGCAAATGTTTGAAACTCTGCGTGTTCTAGAGTAGGACCTTCATCGGAGACTTTGTTGCTGAAAAATAAACTAGGACATTTCTTTTCATAAGTGGAAATGTTAGAAGCGATTCCTCCGATGATGATGACGACGACGATGAATGTTGATTTAAGAATGCAGACATACTTCTAGATTGAGTTGAAAATATTGATGATAATTATTGTGGAGAGTTGAGGATATTGGTAATAATTATTGTGGATTAACAGATGAGTGTGCAATCTTATTTATAGAAAAATAAAATAATATAGTCGTCATATGATATGGCGTATCGACCCTTAAAAAACCATTTCAATTAAAAAATTTATAAAAAAAAAAAACAAATTAAATATAAATTAAAAAAAAAGGATTACAGTGAGGCGCCATATGAAGCTTTAATGGAGGTGTCATATGATATGGCGCATAAGATCATTTTGCAATGCTACATCCATATCAAATGATGTATGCTTGTTGAAAGTATGTCATTTTGATATTTCTTTTGAAATTCGAGTTATTATTGTATTTTTTTAAAAAAATATTGATTACTTAAAAAAAATTCATGATTTAAATATTTTTTTTATAAGATAAACTTCTAAGTTTTAAGTTTTTTTTTTTTTTTTTTAAAATCTTGTAAGTTATTTTTAAGTTATGTAAGAAAATAACTATTAGAAATATATCGACTATTTTAAATTTGGCAAACAAGTCCAAGCGTTGTTTTCAAGCTTACTTTATGTTGTATTGACAGTTCTATCCTTGTAAAAACACCTCATTCCCACTCTCGCAACCAAACAAACTAAACTCCACTCGCCAAATTTTAGCAAAATCTATATGGACCCCCAATTTTAGCAAAACGTAGCGCGTGAATATCCATACCATTTTCCGCGAGTATAAATAAATCTCACCCAATTTACCCCTCACATTTTTCTCTATATTTTCTTCTATCAAAGATTCACCTTCCACAACTTTCTCTCTTCCCAAACAAAGCAAATCTCAGCGAGAGAAGGTCCTTCTTTATCCAATTTTAGGGTTTCTATTATTCGCTAATCGCCCAGATCTTTACGCATCGAAACCCTAATCTAGGATCAGGTAAAATCAGATTATTGTTCCTTTTGCGTTATCTTTTTTTAAGATCTAATTTTTCGTTTTTTAATTTTAGGGTTTGGTTAAGGTTTCACCGCGATAAAAATAGTTTAAATTTGATTTCAATTTGTCTAATTTTTAGGGGGTTTATTTATTTTCGATCAGATCTTGTCGATTGAAATTGTGTCTCTTGTTGATATTTAGAGATTTGTTAATTCTTGAGTCTCGAAGTTTTGTCTCTATTGTTTTTTGACAAGTAAGTGGTGTGGTTCAGATCTAGTCGGTTTCTCGATATACCTTTGACGATAAAGACTTTATCTTTCAAACGTGATTTTTCTAGTTGTAAATTTTTATGTGTATCAATGTTTTAGCATGGTTGTAACTTGGTAAATAAATATTTAGTACTTGTAAGATATTGTAAATTGTTGATGAACTTTGGGGGTAATTTGTTTCTAAGGAAGATTGAATTTGAGTTTGAGTAATTTGATTTTAATCCGTGTCCGGCCCAGCATAAGGTTCTGTTACCGACCCAGGTGTGGATTTGTCCAGGAATGTTTTTTCCTTCTGTTTATCAGTATTGATAGAAGAGTAGGTCACTAATTTGCTGCTTGAAATTGTGGGGTTGGACATTTATACCTCTAAGATTTACGAATGGGGATAAAACCCTGATTTTTAATGGGGATAAAACCCTGATTTTTAATGTTGCCGGGCAATATGGCCCCGTTGTCCAATTTGGCTCTCCTTATAACTTATAAGGATTATGTTCACAGTTAGTGATATTATAATATAAAGATTAGTTTGCTTATAAGTGATATATTTTATGGACTATTTTGCTAGTTGGTGATATAAATCAAGAGACTTATCAGATTGGTAATTTGATACCAGTTAATCAAGTTGATTGGCATAATTCAAATAATGGTCTGTTGTATCAATTTACAAATTTTGGGGGGCAAATTGGATTTACTCGTTGATACGCATATGTTTCTATTGGGTTTGTGGATTATTATTGACAGTGGTTTTGATGTTTAATTGTTGTGGAGCTTGTTGTTATTATATGACAGCTGACATTTCAGTTTTAAATACAGGTCTGAGTGTTGGTGGGACATTCTGTTTCGGAGAGTTAAGGTTCATGTCTGAATTAGACGCACAAATTCCTACTACCTTTGGTAAGTTGAGTTGGAACATCTTGACCTATTGATCATTGTTTTCTGTTAGGTTAATTGTTTTGTTCTTGATATGTATCCCTTCAGGAAAGGTAGTCATAAGTTGTCCAATTATGTTGTGTAGGTTGGGTTTCTTGAAATCGCTGTTCCAAATTGCTAAATATTATCATGTCTATTGTGATGTTTTTCCTCTGTTTGATTTTATGTAGGTTTCATTATATATATGTCTGACAATTGACTAGTAAATGATGTATTCTCTTTTATGTTAAAATGTGTGTTTTTGTAGATTCAACTATTTTATTGAAATGTAATGAAATAGTTTTTTGGGGTACTGAAAGTGGTTTAAGATTGGGTCTTTAATGCATTGTTACTAATGATATCTGATTTCTGTGTGGTATCTGTGCAAACAATTTTTAGATCCTTTTGCTGAGGCAAATGCTGAGGACGCCGGTGCTGGGTCATCAAAGGAGTACGTGCATATTCGTATACAACAGCGAAATGGTAGAAAAAGCCTGACAACTGTCCAGGGATTGAAGAAAGAATTCAGTTACAACAAGATTCTTAAAGACCTTAAGAAGGAGTTTTGCTGTAATGGTACAGTTGTCCAGGACCCAGAACAAGGACAGGTATGTGTTGACATCCTCTTGTTAGATAATGATCTATCTACACCATATTGCTTCAAATAACATTTTTATGTTGTGTAGGTTATTCAACTTCAAGGTGATCAAAGGAAGAATGTTTCTACCTTCCTAGTCCAGGTAACTAATTACTTCCCATCCTTGGTTTTGTGCAGTATCTTTTAAAATAATTATCTATCCTTTGCTCCACGTGTCTGGTTACTTTCCCCTCCCTTTTTATTTTGCTGTTTAGTTTTTAGCATTTTCAGTGTTGTAATTTATGACTGGCTGTCTGATCTAATTTTTTAATTTTGCATTTGGCATAACACTGGTCTTGAGAGTCTGTTTTTAAAGGTCTATAAGCTAGGCATCTGGTTAATTAGACTAGCTGATAAACTTGTTGATCATAATCAGTATTTTGAAAATGATTTGGTCTCACTAAGCTTAATTTAATAAATCATATAAATATGTCCTTTGACATCATTTTAAGTTTATCAGTTAATTCAACAACTAATTGTATTGAGTACTTAAAGTTCATTGTTAGTTTCTCAGCAATATGAAACTTTTTTTAAACTGCATGTGTTTTTAAAGTAACTACATAAGTTTGATGCTGAAATTTGTATCTTGCTGGTCAGTTTCTTGAGCAGCAAGTGACACTTTTAGAGAATGCCTTTATTGAGATTTTATTTTTCTAGACTGGATATGGGAGAGATGTGTTCATATTTAACTTTTTAAATTTATAATGGATCTATGCCTTTGGTAAGAATTGAGTTGGTTAAATTTTGAGTAAATCATTGCTGTGTATGATTCTAGACAATCTGTTATATTATTCTAATTGATAAACCTGGATACCTTTTTTTTTCTAGATGCCTTCAACAGATGTTACTCATTTATTTTCTGCATTTGTGGATTGTACAGGCTGGAATTGTGAAGAAGGAGCATATTAAAATTCATGGTTTCTAAGCAGCTGGAAACTTGAAAGTGTTAAGTTGTATCTGGCTCACATCGAGCTGGGTATATGTGAGTGATTGTCGTCTTTCTTGTGATCTAGTCTTTTGAACAACTTTTATGTGGTATTATGGAATTTATGACATTATGTGATATTTGCTTCAATAATATCTATCAAAGGATTTTAATAGAGTTTTATAGACTTCATTTAACATTTCAGATACTTTGATTATGTGATATAGCCTCAACACGTGCCTTTTGAATGGAATTGATTGTTTAACAACTGAAAATTTTTATGACCTAAAAATAAGGGATTGAACGATTTCTAGAAGTTTTAAAACCATTTTCAATGTGATGAACATACTGTTTGTTGATATAATTAGATCTTGGATTCTAGCTAATACTGCATAATAATTAAAACTGTTTTGTAGTTTTATGTAAGAAGAATAGTTGTCAAACAGTTTTTTTGGTGGGATACTTCATTTTTCCTCGATAATGATTCTGCTATTGCTTTGCCACTTATGTAGAAGTTGTTTAGGTCTCATTTAACAACCCAATGTTTATGAAGTAGTAATGGCAAACCTTGTTTTGTGAATTTGTTTACTACCACTTGTGCAAAATTGAGATGTGGAACTCGTAAGACCTTTCTAATATGATTATGGATCAAGTGAATCCAATATTTTTTAATGTTGATATGCGGTACTTTGATCTTTGACATCTGGGATTTAGGTAAATACCTAATATTTTGAAAATTTTACCTTTGGATGAAGAAATATCGGATATTTTGAGAATTTTCATATCCAATGGGATTCTAGAAATTTGCTATTGTTGAAGAGTCCGTTAATGAAATTATATTTTAAATAAATTATACAGGATAAAACATATGCATATAATGCAAAAGTGATACAATTATTTACTAGTATCTTCTTCTTAGTGCCTAAAATGTTCCACACGTTATGGGAGGCAAAGGAGAAATGAATTTCAACTTCACATGAATTTAATTACTATTGTCAACAAAATCAACTGTAATTAAATTTAAACTTCACATAAATTTTATTACTATTGTCAACAAAATCAACTGTAATTAATTTGTGTTTACCTGAAGCTTTGTATGGAGCTATTACTAATGTGAAGAATGTGATGTGATGTTAAGATTCATGGACAATAAAGTTAATATGATATGGTATTTAGAATAAATAGAATAACTCATATCAGAAATCAGGAAACATCATGCATTTCTCGTTAAAATCACAAATTAAGTAAGTTACACGATTTATAATTGAACATTTAGCAATCCAATGGTTTGCTTTTTGTGACTTATTTGCTAACTTTTTTTGAATATTGGATAAAATTTCATATTCATACTTGATATTCTGCCTATTTAACTCCCACCTAATCATAAGATAAACTCTTATTTTTTCAAGCATATTGACAATAGGCTTGGCTATTGCAGTTACAAACTTGAGTTGAATGTCTTTCACATGTTATTCATTAAAGTATTACATCTTTGAGTTGTGCTCCTTTGAGTTGTGTTCCAGAATCTTGGTGGAATCCTTATCAATTTCTTCAAGCATAGTGACAATAGGCTTGACTATTGCAGTTACAAACTTGAGTTGAATGCCTCTCACATGTTATTCATTAAAGTATTACATCTTTGAGTTGTGCTCCAAAATTTTGGTGGAATCTTTATCAGATGCTTGGAAAGCCTCCTCATTAACACCCTTAATTTCAAGCATAATCTTTTTTCAAGCATAATCTTCCACATTAGCTTCTTTAATTTGAGACATGAAAACTTCTTCCTGAAGTTGTTGTACAAATGTCTACGGATACACAATGCATTAAATTTAGTAACACATAACATGCATAAAGACTAAAATGAAATCTTTAACATAGTTAAAGGGTCTGAATTGACATAGACTACGTAACATATAATCTTTTGTCAATTTTTGGGAGTAACTTTTCAAGTGATGACAAGAGTTTCTATAATTCAGTTAAAACAGAGATATCAATAAAATAGAAAAGACATTAAAAGTAATGAATACTTCAAATAGAAAAGTAATGAAACACACTTTTTATTTTTGGTGAAGTCTGGCGGGGGTGGAAACCTTGTCGAGAGACATATGCTTCCTTATGGATAGAGGCATAAATTGAGGTTACCCATTAAAGGAGGGAACATGCCGATCGTTTTATCAAAACATAACGAGAAGTAACTGGCCACGACCCAAGTGATGTTGAAATTGCACGTCATATGGAGTGTTAGGGAAAACATGATGTCGTTTCTCAGGTCAGTCCTAGTAATCATCATAGAGATGACGTGTTGGCCCGCAAGAGTATTCGATTAATAGATCTGATCAATCTAATAGATACCATTGGATGGTTGCTGAAATAGTTTGGATTTCTTATGTCTTGAACACCGTCAACATTGTGATCGAAGACGACATCATGATTGACGATCCCTCAAATTGGAAATTATACCACTAGATCCGAATGAGAGGATATGTATCTCTTTCGAAGGTTGATCGGTTCCTCTGTACAAGTGTCTCTTCACCAGGTTATTGGGATACACCCACCTTTCTCTAATTTTGAGGTGGTCGTGATGGACCAATTAAAAGCTGCCTCTCACAACTTCATATTTGCACCTGAGCTTTTATGAAGGTATTCTAACTTTATGCTGAGTAGAAGTCTTGGAAAGCTTCTTTAGGGCTCTTCTTTGTCCTTTTTATGTAGCTCGTACTTTGTTGAATGATGCTTGGGATCAAGGATTGATCCCCCTTCGGCCATAATTACTCTAGTTTAGCTATTTTGCCTCGGATTGGGATGATTTTCTGGAGCAATTCATGCTGTTGAAACCTGTTACTTCTGAATCTTATATGTCATTTTATTCCTCTTTAGCCTAGAGGAGAAGTGTCTTCTCTTGCAAAAGGTGTTTTCGAAAGTACTGGTTTAGAGTTCATTTCCATCGACCTAATTCTTTTTATCACTACTAGTTAACTCCTCTATCTCCCGAGGAAGTAAAGATGAAAAATGATTTATATGCATAATATCAGGGATCTAATATGAAAAAGGATTGGGTCCTAGCAAAGTATTTTCTTTTCATAAAAGGAAAAGGCAAATAAATACTAAAGGGATAATTAATGTGTTTGATTATTCTAAGAGACGAAAATTCTTTGGCGAGGATGAGGGTCCAAACGCCTTTTATTTAACTGTGTATCTTGTGTCTTGCAGATAACATGGATCAGTTGAATCAAATGCGAAAAACTCTAGAGCTTGCAAATGATCAGGGCCTTACAACTGACTTATCTGTCCGGGTACTGGTGGCACCTGTTGTTGCTGTCGTGGTGGTTGCTCTGACAGTAATTGAGACTACTATCTCGATCATTATTCTTGAGGTAGGTCAGCCGGTCACTGAGGTGGCTGGTTTCTCTGCTTAATAACTTTGATCGTCTCGTTTCCCTACAAAGAGGGGTCGGGTGATAGTTCGTCTACTCCTGTTGAAGTATGTTCTTCCAAACGAGACCGCCTTTTGGAATATGGCAAGTAGGAGATTCTTCCATCTCGGGTACCTAGCACCCTAGAGGAATTTGCTGCTGACGTGGCTTCTGAAGACTTGGATTTCGTCCAAGGTTTATCTTTAACCGAAAGGCGAAACCTTTTTGCAAATTCTTCCCATACTCTGTTCACGACCGGATCCCTTGTTTCTACTGTAGATACGGGCCAAAATGATGTTCTGAAAACGCGACTGAAGCGTGTCGGGAATTCGAAGCAGATCATAAAGTTCTTTAGCATAAGAAAAATGGACAGGAAGTGTTTAAAAAGGTCTAGAGGAAGAGGTGGCTGCTGCTCGATAGAAATCTCATGACTTCCTTCAACAGGCTGTAGAAGCCGTGAGTAGAGTCTTGGATGAAATTATGGAGCAGACACGAGGGTTTTGTTCCAGCCTTACCATTATTGTTGTCTAGTTGGATCCTTTAGCAGATGCTTGTGGAAAGGAAGCCGAAAGTGGTCTTGGAGCTTCATAGCTGGGTGCCGACGTTTGAGAGCCTTTTGTTCTTCTTTCTTTGTTTTATTTTTTCCTATAAGATTTGACCAGACCTTTGTGCCTTAGTTTGTAAAGAATATTTTTATATATGTATTTGAATTATTACTTTTAACATACTTGTGCTTTTTGGTATGATATTACTCTTTATTCAACCATTATTATTGTCCGACTAGGATCTGATGAGAGATAGGGCTTGCTTTAGAACCTTGCAATTCACATAATTCGTTTGCAACAAAAAGTAGGAAATGATATTTTCTTAAAGTATAAATGACCTTAAGTCTTTCATGGAGCCGTGCATGGTTGTTTCTTTTGAAAATACGCTGCAATAAGATATGGGCATTGCCTTGATGGAATGTTGAGGTCATAACACATGGTTGTACATAGAATGTGCTTGTGCGGAGGAAGCATCTATACAATTTGATGTGTCCCTACGTTAAATCAGGACTGGCATAATATGAGCTAAGCTCTGGGCGTTTATGCTCCCAATTGTACCTGTAAGTATTTCATGCCAAATCAGCTAGATGCGACTATGCCTTAATCACATTTATATGGATAAGTAATGAGTTCAACTAATTATGGTTATGTTTTGGATTATACTTACGAATGAGGGACATGAAACCCGCTAGATGCGACCACGGTTTGAACTGCGCTCCACGTCACAGAGAATTATACCTAGCCAAAGGTAGAGGGTTCTCGTCCCTGCCCACAAAGCAAAAACACAGATCGAGGTGGATGTCTCCAAGATTCACAACGCTCGCCCTTGGACTGGATATATCCGAATAAGGGGTGCACAAGCTACGTATAATATTGTGTATTTCTTTGACAAATGATATTTGAATGCTCTAATCGAACGTGCAAAGCGTCTTCGATATCATGCCTTGGGGAATTATTTGCTGTAATTGGGTGTGCTAAGCGTTTATAGCAACTCCTTTAGATTCTGAAGACGAATGAGGCGCTATGGGGGAATTGATTGATGTAGTCAGATGTACTAAGCGTATCCGAGAACACCCATGAATTCTGAAGACGCATGAGGCACTGTGAGGAGTTGATTGTTGTAGCCGAGCGTACTAAGAGTGTCAAATATCACCCATGAATTCTGAAGACATATGAGGCATTGTGGGAAATTCATTGTTGTAGTTGGACGTATTAAGCCTATCCGACAACACCCTTAAATTTTCACGTGGGCAAAGTGCCAGAGGTTTTTAATTAATATAATCGGATGACTGAACCGTCTCCAAAAACCCCCAAGATCTTTAAGATGGACATCAACTGCATTGGTTGTTCCACGATTCACTACTACATGCAATCGTGTTTTTATTCCCTAAAAGGGAACAAGGCAAAAAGCAGAACATCGAAAGTATAATAGCAATATATATATATATATATATATATATATATATATATATATATATATATATATATATATATATATATATATATATATATATATATATATATTCATTATTATATATTAATTTACAAATATATTAATTAATTCTTGCAGCCAAACGCAAGTGTGTACCGATCCTTCGACCTTGAATATGCAATCCATGAAAATTAATGTTTGTCAGATTCGGAGGGCGGGACACTTGGCTGGTGAGATGTCTGGGTCTGGTTTTTCGGGGTTGAGGTGGTCAGTTTGTTTGGGTTATAAGCTCATTCAAGGTATATGAGATGCTTGTATCATTTGGGGTTGAAGAGATTTTGATTGACATTTTTGGACTTGTAACGGGCAGAACCTCTTGGGTAGTTATACATGACATGTTTCATCGGATGCTGGTCGTCCCTCTCCCCGACTTGCAAACAGACGACTCTTCTAACATTTCTTTGGGAATAATATCGACGTGTTGGAGACTTATCCAACCAATGGAGAGCCACATGACCCTTCCTTACACCAATCGACTGAACGTCCATCTGATCGCTTGGTCCTCTAGATTATCCCACATCTGAGATTACCCATTATATCGCAACTCTCTTTTCATTCCATAGTACCAGGGCCTTGTTGATTGTTCAGGACTAGGATCATGTCGTTACGATGATGAGACATCGAACATGACATTTTTACAATGATGATACATATGGCGTTGCCCGACCATGATGGTATGCGTGCCACCACATCTCTCAGATGTGATTTCCTTTGGTCTTGCTTGAATCCGTGATGAACTTTGGCTCGAATTTGACGAGGTCCATCGAAAGGTTCATCCAATGGGGGTAGACCTTACCCCAGCTTGCGAATTTGAATATGAATCTGAGAGCTTCCATCGACTGAATTTCTTGAGCGGTTGAGGATGATGCCCACAGTTGAATGGAATATGTTGGACTGGATATCAACCCTATGGTGTTTGATGACGTTTTGTCATTAAAGGTCATAATTAATACAACCGCTCGTTCGACATCAAATATGAGTTCATTGGATCCAAACAACTCAAATTTGAGATCTTAGATTCTCGAAACTTCGATTTCTTTGCCAGAGACACTTTCAGAGTTTAGATATGAGGATCAAACTTGGAATCGTGGAAATCACAGGAATCAGAAGTTGATTCTCACAGATGGGGCCATTGTTCCATTGTGGAACCATAAATGGTTAGAATTGCGGAAACTACGATGGAAAAAAGCTTCCAAAGCGCTACGACGACATGACACCGTGGATCGAAGGTTGCGATCACAGTGCTTCTTGAACCAGAGGTATCGGTTTTGGTGCGATGCCGTTAGTTAGTGTTTGCCATCTCCGATACGGTGGACCTATGAAGGGGTATCTGCATGGTTAGCACTTTAACACCCAAGTCAATTTATGGTTGAAGATTGATAGTGAAAGTGGAGATTAGAGATTGTGTACATGAAAACCCTTTACGAAGGTATTTATACCTTGGGTTTGACGGGGAATTTTGGATAATGAGCCTCGTGTTATTGGACCTTAAGAAGGCGTTGAGTAGTGGGTCCTAAGTCTTTGGCTGAGACAGAAAAAAGTCATTCATATCTCTTGACACAATTAGTCTTATAACATGAGTTACACTTTGATGCCACTTGTTTAACAAAACACTCCAAATAGAAAAGGGAGGGGGGGGGGGGATAAACTGTGATATTTAGTTTTCAAATTTTTTTATATAAAATGATTGATTTTAGAAAGAGGGTAAAAGTAGAGATTATGTTGTAGAAAAGATAAATAGAAAAAAAAAGATATGCACTGACAATGTAAAATTATTTTACACTGTCAAACAATCACCATCATGTATTCGGCCAAGTCATACTAATATTTTTAAATTAATTATGTGACATTGCTGAATGATGAATCCCTATTGGATGACAATGTAAAACTATTTTACACTTTTAGTGCATTATCTTTAATCTCAAAGATAAAAGACACAAACTAAAGAGAGAGATTTTAGAGAAATCACACCAACAAATTATCTTGATCCAACCATAAACCACACGACCTATTCTAATCTCTAAGAGTTCCTCTTAAAATTTTCACTTATAAATAACTCTACTTTTACAAAAGTTCAGCCCAACAACCTTTCACCAATTTTTTTTACATGTTTAGTTTGAAATCTTCAAGGCTATTACAAAAACACAAAAAGATTAAGCTCCTGAGTAAATAAATTCAGTATAGCAACACAAAAATATAATTCTCGGAATAATCTTTTCACTCTTTCAACAATCCAAGATTAAAGCACTAAGATTATATGAACTTTTACAACTTAATTTTCTTTCATTTCATTGATTTGACTTTTTTTTATTCTCATAAAAGAACTTTAATACTTTACTTATATTTTATTTTCTGAATAACGATACTTGTCATAATAATTTTTCTTTTAGAAGAGTTTAAATCAACACAAACAAGCACATTACACAAATAAAAGTAGGGATTAATATCATAATTAAATTTTATTTTATATTTATTTTTGGAAAAAAGATGATGTAATGGTAATATAAATTTATTTTACACTATTAATTAATGACGACTATCCGGCCATACATCTCACTAATTTATATTAAAAATTTTAAATTAACTATATGACATGATAGAATAATATATTTCTATTAAGGTTAAATATTTTTACAAATGGCACTCTTATTTTTTTTTAAACACATTTTCACATTTGCCTAATATTATAACTAATTGTTGTTTTAATTTTTATTCTTTTGAGAAACATTTTCACAGTTGAGAAATCAATTCCGAGAGAAAGAACGGAAAGGAAGAAGAACGAACAACGCAAACCACAAAGAGAGAGATAGTGTTTCGTTTGTTTGCATCAATCAATGGATGAACTATTCGTAGCTATACTATCGATGCTTTTTCTCGCAGCACTAGTTCCTCTCTATCTATGGAAGCGCCATCACGATTCTCGATCTTCCTCTTCCAACCAAGAACCTCAACAGGTTTGCAAATCCCAAACCAAAACCCTAATTTCACCAGTTTTCTTATACGAAAAATTGGAATGCTTAGTTCAATCATGAAAAAATCATCAGGCTCCTCAGAGAGAAACCGTGGTTCGTGCCACCGCTACTCGCCGCATGCGTCGACGACCAGCTGCATCTGGAGCTAGCACTTCGTCGGCTCAGCCTGCAACGCAACAAGGTTCCTTCCTCCTGGTTCCTCCTCATATAGTTCGTTTGATTCTATTTTAGTTTTTCATTTTGTACTTTGTGATAATGTTTGAGGTTGGATTTGAAGAAATGATCAAATTAATCCGTGAAATGTGCTTGATTGAAGTGTTTGAATGTGTATTTAGTTGGACAAGTTGGTTGAAGTTGTTTAGGTGATGGATGGATTAAAATTATTTTGAGTTTGTTGGTAAAATTAGTTTTCATGTTAGGTATTTTGAAGACTAATTTGTCGAATGAAAATCATGATCATTGACTAATTTGGCGTATGAAATATGATTCAGAGAATTTTAATGCGATTTCTATTGTTTCGGGACTAATTTTGTGGGTTTCTATGTTTGATTCAATGCCTAAGTGAATAAAAATAAGAAGAGATGTAATTTAGATTTAAAATGTGTTGTTTTCTTTAAGAAAGGGTTGTTGGATTTGAAAATTAAAATTGCGGTTGTTTAGGGGATATTTGTGTTTATTTCTTTACTTAGTTATTTCTCTAGATTCTTTTTCTATAAATTTTGTGTTTAAGGTAGATTTCATATTGTGGAGGTCAACTAGTTGAAATAGTTACTTGGCTTTCTGTTTTTATCATGTGGAAGCATTGCTGAACTAGTAAGTGATGTCAAAGTATTAAATATACACTGCTTAGTGCCTTGCAGGAATGATACTCATGAATTTTATCTTGAACTGAGTTGCATTTGTGAAGTGATAAACTATATACATTTGAACAGAGTCTGCAGATGAAAGTGACAATGAAGCTGCTGGTGATGACTATGAGGCCAGAGCATCAAAGAAAAAAGAAATCAAAAGGCAAGAGAGGGAAGCTCGGCGGCAGGTATTCTTTCTTTATATCACGTTAAATCTGGTTTGTTCTTTTATTGTTAATATTATTAATCATTAAAGATACTATGATATACATTTGGTTGGCTTCTTGTTAATTGCAATGTCTTTGTAACCTCTGCCAAAGAGCATAATAATTTTAATTTGAGTAAATGAAATGGAGGGTATCTCGAAATGAAAGATCTTATATTTATATCAAGGTTTAATATGGATGTAGACATTTATGTTGTGTAAATTATTAAAATATTGTTTAAACTGTCATGCACATCATAGGATTACTTAAAAGAATACTAGACAGACATGATATTTAGATATCAGTGAAGAGTTTATTATTCAAGACATCATCCCAAAACTGTTATGGATAGAAAATCGGCTTGGCAACTATCCAATTAACCCATATAAATGCTCTGCCAAAAACCAATTAAAAACTGGAGGGATTGGTCATGAACCAGTAAATACCGTCAGGCGTCAGTTCTCCTGTTTAGAGTGGTTGGATATTGAGATTTTTTTGAAAAACAAACAGAAACATTATTTTCAATAAAAGGGGAAGAAAAGAGGAGGGAGAATGAAGTAGCAGAGATAACCCGAATTAAAAGAGAACTGAAAAATAGTATTATTGGTTGAAAATGAAACTATTACAGAAGATGAACTCTATAATCCTAGAGCAAAAATGCTCTTCTGGGAAGGGATGGCACTTTGATGACACATTCTCTGACCAACCTCTATGGTCTAACAGAAAGTATTCCAAATGAATTCCCTTTTCTCCTCATATTCCCTTTATAACAGAAACCAGTCACACAATTAACTTCCCCTTTGCCATGTCACATTCCTCCTCTTCCCATTCCTATATTTTCCTAATAAAACTATCCACAAAGTGGGCTTGAGTAGCTGATATGCTATTTTACCTTTTGGGCCCACTATCACATTTTGAGTCTTAACAGTCTGGCTTCCATTGTTGCCTCCCTTAGCTGAGATTGAGACCCCTTCCCTTTCTTTTAACTCATTAACCTTGAGAGTGTCATCAAACCCTCCTTGGAGGATTTTTTTTACTGTTCTTTGCTACTGACGCGGGTGCCAGCAACAACCTTCTTCTGGCCACTCTCTTGAGCTAAAAAACTAAAGCCGTGTTGTTTACCCAAAGCCCTTCACTCAGACAAACCCATGTCAAAAATTAAAATCTGTTGTGTACAATACACAACAGTGTACAAAAGTACTGATAACAGAACAGAAAACAAGTGTGAGAGAACTGGTGCAAGTCCTATAACGGCATTAGTAATTTAATTTTGTTCTCAGGTCATAACTCAATATTAAAATTGGGCAGTGATTAAACAACACTATATTGTGGTGACCATGACTCTACTTAAAGCAATACCCTATTGCTTAGTGCTCTTTGACTACAGAATAATTTGACAATACTAGTAATCACTTATGTTATCAATTTTGTCTTTTCTTATTTGTTATTTGAATTCTATTATATATCTTTGGGATTTTTAAATATTACAGATAGTATGCGATTTTTAAATCTTTTAAATTATAAATATTCTAATTATAATTTTTTTTACTGATATTTAGTATATTATTATATAAAAATTTCATAAAATATTATTTAGTTATCACTGGTTCAACACAATTTTATCAAAGTTAACGCATTAAAACTTGAACTAACGTTTTCATTGGTTAAAAGACTAGTTGGTTTTTTACAAGATGTATGCATTTCTACTTGTTATTTGATGCGGGAAAGGGGACTGTTTTTTTTTAAGTTTAACTAGTTGACTAGATTTTGGTCCATCTTTTTGAAAGGCTGAAGAAGCTATGCGAGATTCAAAGCAGTCCAAACAGGATCGTTATTCAGAAATGCGGAGGTTGAAGGATGAAGAGCGTGAGGCACAGGAGCGTAAGTTGGTGAGTCAATATCCTTGTTCTAATTTAATCTTAGGATGGGCTTTCTTATGGTCTGTTGATTGGCAAAGCACATGTTCATATAGGAAGAGGAAGCCAAAGCTCAAAAGGCTAAGGAAGAGGAAGCTGCTGCATTTGAATTTGAGAAGTGGAAGGGCGAATTTTCAGTTGATGATGAGGGTACACTTGAAGAGGAGCAGGATAAAACTGAAGACTTGCTTGCCAACTTTGTTGAATATATAAAGGTTAGTTTCTCCCGTCAATTAAAAATAAAATAAAATAAAGGTTAGTCTCTGATTCGTACTTTCTACATCCTTAGGGTCTGTTTAGTTGGAGAGGAACGGAGGGGAGAAATTATTTTAAGTTTTAGTGGTTTGGTGCTTTTTCTTTTTCGATGGGAGAGGAGCCAAATCTCTCCTAAGCTCATTTTAGCTCCCCTTCAAAATGGGGGAATTTAGAAGGAAGAGAATACTTCTTATAATTTAGACTTAAATAGCCTTGTACTTAATCTGACATTAAATATTATAAGAGTGAAAATGTAATTTCACATTTTCCCTCCATTAAAACCTCTCCGTCTCCCCTTGTTGAACCAAACACAAATCATTTTAAAATCTCTCCCTTTCCCCCCCGCCCTCCCCTTGAACCAAACAAACTCTTACTTTCCTTGTATTTTTCCTAATAAGTTGTCCAGAGTTTATTTATTTCACCAGGGCCTTGAAACCTAATGGATTTGAGTTAGGGTTATATTTGTAACTATGGGAGGTCTTATAAGTTATAACTATTCAATTTTGTTTAATCATTCAGAAGCACAAATGTGTCCCCTTAGAAGATCTTGCTGCAGAATTTAAATTGCGTACACAGGTATTTTTTTCCTTTCTTTTTCTTAATCGGAATCATCCAATTTATTCCCTCTACCACCACATAATCTTTTTACATTGTTGCTGCTAATTTATGGGAGCAACAGTGTTACAGAGTAAGAAATTCTGCAATGCTATTATGTCTTTTTGATTTATATGATAGATATTTTGCATCTTGTTTGAATTTTCTATTTATATATTTAGTTGTATGAGTATTTATCGGTGTTGAAAGAAAACAAGTGCAGAGAGAAAGGGAAAACAAAGGATGCTGTAATAGAGAGAGCATAGTAGTCCAGTAATTTATAGAGTTATTCACACAATGAGTTATCCCTCTTTTTATTTAACAAATGTGACTAGTTTTACTAACGAGAATCACTGATAGTAAGATCTTACTAACGAGAATCACTGATAGTAAGATCTTACTAACAGGGAAAAATATACATAAAAGGTATCATTGATGAAGAAAATAACCTCTATATCACAACATAAAACTAACTTTGTAATCATAAATTCACAAGCTTCTAACTCCAACCATAAATTCAAAGTTCATAAATATAGAGGCCCGAAACTAAGATCCTAACTCGATTGCAGCACGAAAATCCTCTTCTGAACCATAAGTTTATGTGATTCCAAGATCTTACTCGTGATTCCACAAACACTGCTTGTACTGTTTGATTTGTGTGATTCCACGATCATACTCGTGATTCTACAAGTACTTTCTTAATTACTAATTGTATTCTTTAGCAAGTAGGTTTAGGTTTCAAGGACACTTAACGATGATGCCAAATTGGGTAAGTGGCCAAATGCAAAACTGGGGTTTCTGGATTTGAAAGCCTTGGCACCTATTTGAGTCTGAATAATGAATATACATAAATAATTTGTATAATGTTTATATACAAGGATAAAATAAACAATCTCTTAAGTCTGGGATTATGTAAGTATAAGATACAACAAAATCAAATCTGAACCATATTTCAATTGAATGATATCTCAACAACTTTATAATTTTACTGGTGTTAAGCTGACTGATCAGATCCTTTTCTAATGTTTTAAAGTCGTGAAACCTTATTTTTAGTTTGTTTGGCACTATATCAATTTCTGATAGATTTTTCATATATGGGCTTCTTATTTTATGACACCATAAACTGATGCAGGAATGTATCAATCGCATTGCATCTCTCGAAAGTATGGGTAAGAGCCTTTCATGTATCCTTTCTTTTAAATTACCATCAAAAGAAGTATGTATTACACTCCCCTTGTTTTATTTTCATTTTAGATTGTTTTCTCCAGCACCAACTACTTTTGAACTCATACAACAAATTAACATGTTAGATTAGATGGCCATGTCATTGGCAAGTGCTTCAATAAGTAGAAGAAATATTTGACATAATTGGGACTGCCAATTTTTTAATTTATAATTTACATCTCATTCCCATTGTTGCAAGCTATGGAAAAAAAATTAGAAATTTCCTACAAAAATGGATAGGTTTCATGCCTACTCTAAAGCATCTACATAGGTTTTATGATTCGTGTAATTTTTATTTATTTACCAAATTGAAGTTTTTTATCACTTTGTGCAATCTGGTAACAAACATAAACAAGTATTTGTTTATGTGGCAGGCCGGCTTTCGGGTGTCATGGATGATAGGGGGAAATTCATTTACATCTCACATGAAGAGATGAAAGCTGTTGCTGATTACATTAAGCGTCAAGGGAGAGTTAGCATTTCCCACTTAGCTAGTAAATCAAACCAGTTCATTGATTTAGAGCCAAAGACTCATTATAGTGAGGACATAAGTAACATGGAGGAGATAACTGTCAACTGACCTGGTTTTTTGGCTTATGGGCGAAGGAAAATCTTGTGATGTACATATAAAAGAAAATGAACTAATATGGTGGATTACGATCTGGTACATGATTTTGAGCTGCCTTAGTAGATTACTCCAATTTCAGATTTTTCTGCCAAAAATGTAGTTACTGTATTTAGAATGTTATTCCATATTTTCTGCCAAAAATTTCAGATTTTTCTGCCAAAAATGTAGTTACTGTTTTGGAAATGCATCTTTATTCACACTAGATAAAATTTGGATATACATCTTTGGAATCATATTAGACAATAATTTTTACTTTGATTTAGAGATGTCCTGATGAATTTGATGATAAATAATATTCTATCCCAAATTATAAGTCATTTTGTTAAAAAAATTTGTTTTAGATTATAAGTCATCTTACATTTTTCAATGCAATATTAATGACATTTTTTTTAATATACTCTCAAATATTTATTATTATTTATTTTTTCAACTCTTTTAATTTTTCTGTGTAATTATGAGGGGTATTACTGTAAAGTTATATAAAATTTATCTTTCTCATAAAGTAATAAATGAGTTTTTTAATTTGTGTGAAATATTCAGAACGTTTTATATGGGACGGAGGGAGTAGCTATAATATCATTTTCATTTTTGTATAATATGAAAATGACATATATATATATATATAAATTAATAAATATAGACTATACAATGAATTCAAAATAAAATAAAATTGAAAATAGTGTTCATAATATAAATACTATATAATATTGTGTATGACGCACTCAAACCCCCTGTTCTCATGTTGCCTTATGTACTGGAGTGTCTCTTGTGTCTCTTTTATCATGGCATGTTGCCTTATGTACTGGAGTGTCTCTTGTGTCTCTTTTATCATGGCATTTAGAACGCCTCTCACCTTAGGAAAGAGTCCTCTCCTTACACCCCCTCTGCCCAATTTCAATGATACGATGATATCTCAGTAACACATTAATAGCATGATCTTCCTTAACCCATTCCTTCTCTACTATCTCCTGAAGAGCTGACATAAGTGGGATCTCTCAGAGCATTCAGTGTCATATAAGAACGTGACATCCTAAAATACTACTGGATGTAGCCGTGTACAACATTCCAGTCGCTTGGAGCTATGATCAAGCTCTTTTTCTCTAAACCAATGCATGTTGTGCATATCTTTCGTGCCTTAATCTTTCTTGGTTATCAGCCATAATGCATGTAAGTGAACCACACAAGCATTATACATACAAAACACAATGAGGTCAAGCAAAAAAAATTCAGTCTGATAAATTTCAGAGATGCATCTCCAAATTTTAGAAATCAAAATATTGAAAAATTTCAGAAATGCATCTTTGTAGGTTCTACAACTCAGAAGAACGTTAATGGCAGAAATGCAGTTCATGCGAACATCTAGAATCATGCATTTATCATTTAAACTACATATTCCATAACCTAATGTTCATTGTATATATATATATATATATATATATATATATATATATATATATATATATATATATATATATATATATATATATATATATATATATATATATATATATATATATATATATATATATATATATATATATATATATATATATATATATATATATATATATATATATATATATATATATATATATATATATATATATATATATATATATATATATATATATATATATATATATATATATATATATATATATATATATATATATATATATATATATATATATATATATATATATATATATATATATATATATATATATATATATATATATATATATATATATATATATATATATATATATATATATATATATATATATATATATATATATATATATATATATATATATATATATATATATATATATATATATATATATATATATATATATATATATATATATATATATATATATATATATATATATATATATATATATATATATATATATATATATATATATATATATATATATATATATATATATATATATATATATATATATCATTTAAAAAAGCTTTGAATTTTTTTATACCAAATATGAGTTTAGCTTGATGTTGAGTGAGCTCTTTGATCAATTTGATATTGATGGAAGAAGCTTTGAAGTGAGTTGAATGATTTTGAGACATTGTAAGTTGAGAGAGTTTCAGACTCGAGAGATTGAGAGTTTGAGAAACTATTGAGAAGTGAGAAAGAAAAAAACGTTTGACACGTTTTTGATTAAAATAACGTTCAGAAATACATCTCCATAAGTTACATAGTGATAAATTTTCGTAATTTTTTTTCCATTGTCTTAGGGTACAACTCAGAAACAAATGTGTTTCGGGTGTATTCCAAGATGCATTTTCGAATTTTAATAATATTTTTGATTTTTCACGAGAGTGCCTTAAGCAATTCCCATTTTTCAAACGTGGACTCATTATTAGAATGTGAAGATGTGGAGATTTTATCCTGCCATCCCTACAGTTTGATACTGACACCCCCACTTGTATGGTGCTTTTACCATAATACCTATGTGATTTTTTACATTTTAAAAAAATAATATTTTTTCAAAATTTTAAAAAATTTGTGAGTTTTTACTAGATTTTTAGAGAATTTCATGTGTTTTTTTGCTGAATTTTTGAGGATTCTATGAGTTTTTATTGGATTTTTTTGAAATCTCGTGTTTTTATCAGATTTTTTAAAATTCACCAAATTTAAACTATCAAATTTTTTAAATGTAGTTTATTTTTTTTTGGTGTTAAGTTTATTTTAACAGGGATTGATATATAGAAGTGATAAGTCAAATTGTGTGGATGGCACAGTAAAAATGGAGTTCAGTCTTCCAAAGTGTGTAAAGTGGAAAAATCAATAGTTTCTTTTTTGTGTTTGTAGAAAGTCAATAGTTTTATGAAGTAAATAATTCAAAGTGAAAATACATCATTTTAAATTATTGGCATTGTTGGTATTCCAACAAAATCAATTGTTTTATTAAAAGTAGAAAAAAATAAAAATAAACCACCAAAGCTGAGGACAAGAACAAAAATTTAGAAAAGACAAATTAATAAAATCCATAAACAAAAAGACAATATCTATTATAGAGAAAATATTTTTCAATGAACTAGGGCTGATGCCACCAAATTAATATATTAGAATAAAATATAGGTAAATTTTAAGTACCCTATTAAATTTGTTGGATACTCGTACCCAACATAGATGGTCCAATAATAACATGCCACATATTCATAAAATCAATATTGAATAAAATATACAAATTTTTTATATATTTACATTTGAATCCAAACTCCCTCTATTAAAATTTGTTATATCTCATTTTTTCACACCTTCAAACTCTTACATAATTTTTGCCTTTTTCACCATGAGTTTGTAGGAATTTTGTTTCCATGATGTATCCCAATAAACCTCTATTAAATTTTTTTTTATTGAGACTAGTTGCAATGCTATTTCTAACTCAATGAATCTAAGATTTCTATGTGACAGTGGCATGACTTTCATTATAAAATTAGGAAACTATAGTAAAAAACACATTAGCAAGAAAACAAGAAAGCATTGGAGAGAATTCCTCTCACAAATGAGAGGCAACCATGGAAGAAGGAAAAAAAAAGAACAAGGTTTTTTTGTCTTTTCTTAAAAATACTTTAATGGGATCTTCTGCATATAATTTTTGATGCTACCTGTCATACCTCAAATTTGTCCCATTTTTTTTAAATCTTGACGAACTTTCGCCTCGCGATCATCTGCATCTTCCATTAGGTCATAACCTCATAATCATGCATTGCATTTGGGTTATAAGATATAGGATCAAAAGGTTCTTTAAATAAGGATTTCCTATTTTCTTTGAGGTTCTATTCATTCAAGTATGAAGCAAGGGTTAAATTCTCAACATCATGAGTATCTTCTTATCAAAGTTCATCAAGCATCAAGTTTGTCTTCCTCAAGATTTCTCAAGAGTATCAAATGTTTGGGGTGTCATCTGTGATATAGTTGAAACAGATCAGGCCATTTCTTCATTCAATGTACATCTCAAGGATAGTTAGGGTTTCTCATTTATGGTGGAGCTTGGGGACATTTCATCAACAGAGGATCATTGGATATCGAAGTAGTCTTCCATGTTTCCAGACTTATCATTTATGTTCAAGGATTCAAAGAATTGATATTTTTGTTGATCATTGAAGTCAAGACAGGATAATGATGTTGTTGTGGATTCATGTTGTGGTCAAGGCCATGGATGATATTTGTTGATTATCATGAAAATTGGGTATGGATTAGAAGATTGTATTGAAGATAGAGTTCTTGAAGAAATGAATTTGGATGTGGACTTATCATTCTTTAAGCATACAGGGTGTGAGAAAGGTTCATGTGGATTATTTTGAGTTCAAGTTATCAAGGCAAATAATGCATTGCGTTTTTATCCGTTTTTAAAGCTCATATCAAAGTCCATCCACAAACTAATCTAATTACCCGAATACTTATTTCATGTCACATATCCATTTCAGTGTCCATTTTCATAACTATATTCACATCCCTTTTAATTCAATCTTGTGTACAAAATCTGTTTTAACCATTTTTAGGTTCAATATTCACCTTTAGATCCATTCTTGGTCCATACCTATTTTTGATTAACCAATTTCAATGATCTAAAATCCAATATCCATGCCCATCCATGGCTTTTGATCTTATACTTAATTAACATATTTATTTACTTACCTATTTTGATATTTTTCTTTGCTCCTACAATAAAGTGGTATTACTTATAGCAATCTTGCAATTTCAGTACCGTATCATACCAAGGAGTGTATTGATGGTTTGCCAAGTCTATACCAGATCAAATCTGTTTTAGTAGGCATGCAAATCATAGGTGATCCAAATTCAATTGTCCGCTCTTAACTCATTTCTCATGATCAAAAGAAAGGTTACATAAGGATACCAATCTAGCTGATAGTAATGGCTTGTGAGGGTCCACTTCATAAAGAAAAGTTACAAA